TCTCTCTCTCTCTCTCTCTCTCTCTCTCTCTCTCTCTCTCTTTCTCTCTCTCTCTCTATTTGCTCTCTCACTCACTGAAAATTATACAGTTTGAGCAGAGACATGTAAGAATCGCTAATGAAGCATGATTCAAAATTTTATTTTATTTTTTATTTATGAATTACATTAACATTTTCGGACAGTCACATTCAATTTAACTGACTGAATAACCATCATCGCCAATGATACGCCTAAATTTGCAAATTCGTCACATCGCGTCAGACTCATTCGCTCCGACGAGGAAGCAAATAAACATATAAACTCCGCACGCACGTAACGGAATAAACATCGTTTTCCGTGTTGAAGACCTGAGCGAACAAAATTCGAAATCGTTCATCACATGCGTCGACTCTTTTTATACTTCCGGCAGTATGCGTATTCATGCGCGATAGAAAGAAAGAAGGAAAGAAAGAAAGGGAGAGAAAGAGAGAGAGAACAGACAAACTTAGATTTACCTATTATATATTTATCGTGCAATTCGTCTCGTGAGGAGCTCCAAGAAATCATGAGATTTGCAAAATCTCATCGAACGGATGAATCGCTTCTTTTTCTCCTCGTCTTCCGCAAGATTCGATAACGGGAAACTCCTGTTCGCTGTTCACGGTCGCGGCCGGTCTCTCTCGTTAGGTCTGTAACAAGAAAATTCATACATTTTCCATTAGTACTACTACAAGCAATTCATTTTACGGCTTTCCACGCGCACAGCAGTGCGTTGCTCCCATTCCCGTTCTTTGTGGATCGAGTAGGCCGATGGCGTTGCCTGTCATGAATATAAAGTTGAATGTAAAATTATCTCGACGTCGATAATTCAAATAAGATTCAATTGCGCTAACATGAAATGCTGACCCAATTTTGCTGCACTCTCTATACAAGGAGCGCAAAGTTCTTCAACTTCAGAACGGTGGAAGAATGTGTAGATTTAAAAAAAATGCTGATGCTGATAAATGGCTGCATTTAATGAAAAAAAGCAGCTTTGCAACTGTTGTAAAATTTTTTAATATGATTGATGTTGCTCTTAGTGGTTTGTTACTGGAACTAAGTGGATAAATCGTATTAAATAATCTAACAACAGTTGTATGTATAAAGCTTCTTTTTCTGCTGAACACAGTAAATGTAAGAAAAAATCAGTATGTAAATTTTCTAGATATTATATATTTTCAGGAAAAAAAAGATTTTTTTCCTATTATCTCTCTCTCTCTCTCTCTCTCTCTCTCTCTCTCTCTCTCTCTCTCTAGTAGAAATTTTATATATTTTTTTTAGCAGTTACTGAACAGTTATATTAACTCTGTTTATAGTAACTGAGAAATAAAACTACTTAGGATTCCAATCAAGATGTAACTGCCTACAATTACTGACATGTAAAATCTGAATCCATTTACCGAACAAAAACAGATTAATAAACGGTCTTCGCAGTACTTTAATTAATAATAATTTATTAATACCAGATAATAACTTGACAGATGTCTACGCAAACATTGTATAGTGTATATTATATTTTTACCACAGAGAAACTACTTGAATAAAATTATCAAGCTCTTGTTCAAGTCGCAGTGTTGTTACAACTAATTGAGAATAATACTATACAGTAACTAGATGAGTATCTAGAAAAACATACATTTCTATCAGAGGTATCTTGTCGGTAATATAATACTTTCGTTCAATTTGAGGAAATATGCAGTGTACATTTCCGTTCGTTCAGAAAAGAGAGATGACAGTAAAGTTTTTTTCTCGATTCTTCTTATACAACCGAGAGAGTAATTTCTCGAGATGTCTATATTTAACCGCCGTGTCTAATGATTGCGCACGCAAAGCTATTCCATTTCCAGTCGGACGTCGCACTTTGATTACATTGGTGCTGGGCATAATGCGGATCGCATCTCCGTCAATCTCCGTGTGAAACTTAGCGGATCGACTTCCTCCGTAGAATCATAGCTATTCCTAACAGACTGCGAGTGATCCAATTCCGCGTAAGTGGATGAGAACCATTCCCATCGCCGCATTCTACGTCGCTGGTTAGCCGTGCAACAGTGATCTGTCCCAGAAAGTTGTGTAGAGCGCTTTTGCGCTTTGCCCCCGACATTTACGATCCGCTACTGAAGCCGTTTCTTACGAGCAAATGATGTAATCGAATCAACATAATTTGCCAGTGCAATACAACTTGCCGTTGTCTAAAGGCCATTATACGTGAACACGAATCGCAGTAAAATAAACCTTTCCATGGGCATACACAAGGACGACAGAGGAAAAAAACGTTTGTCCTTTCTTTAGGAAAGAAAAAAAGTTAATATTAAGTAAAAATAGACCAACAAATGTTCAACAAATGAGTGAGGAGGACCATATTCGGTCAAAGATCTTGATGTCTAATAATATTGTATTTTTATAATTTTCAGTTAAATCAAACTGCGTGAACAATTAAATTATTAAAAACACACACAGTTAAAATACAATAAAAACTTAAAAGTTAAAATTATGTTTATTGACGAATATGTGGCTCATGCATTATACGTATTCCCTATCGTAAAGTGACTTATGTGCTAAAAATCTTTCTTTCAAGACTAGCTTCGATATTTAATGAGCTTTGCGTGAAAAAAAATTGTTTATCTCTCTTTAACTGAAGTCCTAGGTACGCCCATAATTCCTTTTAGTTAATTAAAAGTCTTGAAATCATTCACTCTTTCTCCAAATGTACCTTGATTTATCGTTATCGATTCACGTCAAAAAATGATGATGAAACGTCGCGACTTATCTGTCGCGTGGTAAAGAAATGCTGTACGTTTATCTCGCTCTGCAAGACAGAATTTGACGATTTGGAAACAAATTAATTGTCGTTAGCCAAGACTGTATCACGCGATAACGTAACTTTCCATGTCGACGACGAGAACATCATAACGGTTTAATTAAAATTTCTGATCGCATCTATGCTGTATTATAGCGCGCACCTCACGTCGACCGTTCCACGCTTCGGAAGCCGTCAGCCCGACTTCCGTGAGTAAAAACGGCTGATTTACAAGTCCGCACGTTTTTTGCCTTGCCTGTAATCTCGTCCTTAACCACTAATTTGTTGCATCTTTTCTTTGCCCATAACGGAGCACGAGCAGGTCGTTACATCGGTCGTGAGACCGGTGAATCCATCCATCGATCGATGATTGATTTGGAGATCTTGTTGTCGGATGACTTTCCAATTTCTACCTAAACATTCCGCTCACTATCTATACTTTGTCTGTTTCCATTGAGCCCTCTAATTATCAGATCGCTGTGTTACATTCATAGACATAATAAGTATAAATAAGTAAAAAAAACATTTCTATGTAGTTGTCATTATATCAATTTGGAAAGAACGAAGTAGATTGCATCCCTCTCTCTCTTTCAAATATCAAGTTGAAGAAAGATACTAATACAATTCAATATGTGGCGTTGTTTTTCTACGATGCAATTCGATTTACGCTCATTTCGTCCTGTTTATCAAAGTTAAACATGGACAAATAATGTTCGCAATAGTATGTGAATGTGCGTGTATTTGGTTGTATGTGGTTATGTGATTAAAAAAATTTTTTTTTACGTATGAAAGGAATCTTTGTATGCGTTTCTGTACTACTTACTTATTTTGTGTAATATTCGTTTCTATTACTGGCAAACTTTGCGATAGCGGTTTTGCCGGTATTTTTCCATTTATGTGTGCTACGATATGTTCATATTTCTTTCGTTTACCAACGTTGTACTTTGTTATGTGGTGCATTGCAATAAAGATAAAGGTAAAGTTGTGAGCGTGAAGTCCAATAGATCGTAGAGCGCGCAGTCTATAATAATCCTAAACCTATTACGTCTACGGTTACATTCAATTGCTATTGGATTACTATCGCTGCTTTCTCCAGAACGAATTACTGCATCGGATTTTTTGTTTTCCGATATACATCCGGTTTCTCTCTCATTCATTAGCTGTCAAGTTTTGAACGCCCTGCAAAAACGAGCGCGCAGATGCATCGCGTCGATAGCGCGCATAAATTTACTCCCTTTCGACAATTAACTTCTGCTCCATTCATGATAAATGATCCGCACGAATGCAAACTACAGACACCGCAGGAATGCGTTTCCTCCTGCTTAATAATACAATTAGTTGCAACTAAAAATTTCGCTAATTAGCTCTAATTACCTTCACAACACCCGAGTGATGCTAAGATCCTGAATCGCCGATTTTTCGGCTTGCGGTCTCGCCGAGAACGCGGATCGCTCTTGCAGCTTGTGTGTGCGTTCTTCCTCTTCCCTTATCTTCCCGGACTCGGGCGTCTGTCCGCGTTTGGATACGCGATAGCACTATTTAAGGACTTCCAGCACGCGGCCGGGAGAAGAGAGCGCGAAATCGGCGAGCCATTCGGCTCGCGGAACTTTATCGACGGGAACGTTTCACGGCATCCCGCGCGCTATCTTAATTAGCACGGAACCGGGCTTTTCGCGCGACTGCACCGGACACGTGCCGAAAGTGCGCAGAACGCTCTCGTACTCGAACGAGGTTCGTCGCAGTCTCTTCCGCGACGCAATTCCCTCTTACACGCTTCTCACCGATGTTCCGTGAACATGAAATAGTATGTTTTTCCGCGTAGTATCTTTAGATCAGAATTACATTAAAAGAAATGACGTATATATCCTACGTGGCACCTGCTCTTTTAATCTCTTTTTCTCACTTTCTTTTACTGCCATTATTTTTTATTGCACTTCTTTTTAAAAATTTTCGTTTTTATATAGATTTAATATTGTCGTCCCTCTTTTGTTACTGATTTGTATAACATATGTAATTTAATATAGTTCCCTGATACGTTCCGATAAACTTAATCCATTCAGAAACTATCTTCCGGAGCTTCCAATATGCGCGATGTATTTTTAAAATGTCTTCAGTAATGTTTTCTCTTTTTTTTTAATATTATTTAATTTATTATCCTTGCACTTGTCCGTCTTCTCACTTTATCTTTCGACCTCCTCGACAGCTTATCTTCTCGCTGCACTTCTTCGTCACACAGCTCGCGTGCGTGCACCACTCGCGGAGAGACCGTCTGCGGCCGCGACCGCACCATGTGCCCTCGTGCCGTGAGAAGCACTGAATGGGTTCGCCAGACACGAAACATAATCGTGTCTATGGCAGGCAGATAGGCAGCTGTAGGTACACTACAGCTCTTTTCCTTTCCATTCCATTCCGCCGCGGCGACGACGGCAGTGGGGTACCGCATCGGTACCGTGCCCCCACTGTGCGTGCGGACACGTACGTATGCGGCCCACACCTACGCGACACTCGTTGTACGTGGGTCGCCTCCGCCAACGTTGATGACAGAAAGAGAGAAAGAAGGAAAATAGGGACGAAGATTCGAGCAGATTCATTCTGCTGTAATATAAAAAATAAATGTGAGAATGATAAAGAATCAGGAGGAGCAACATTAATCGCAAAGAATTATGATTGCATTGAATAAAAATAAGATTGTACGAATGTGTGTACGTGTATAATGATGATGAGCAAAAGAGAAAGAGAGGAATCTTCCCCATACGTCCTTCAGAGAAAAAGTCTCTTACATGCGATGAGAGTCCCAATGATCACCTATTTTGGCAAAAACGCGTGCTACGGTAATTAAATGTTTTTACGACAGATTGTTTCGCAATTGTACCTGGTTTACAACACACGATAGAGCGATAAATCGGCAGTTCTTTTGGCTTTGACAATTGAACAAACAGCATGTTGAATGACTGTTACGTTATTCGTGACAAATAAAGAGTAATCAAAATTAGAAGAGTAAACAGATTAATTGATTAGAAAATAAATATTTGACCTAATACGATCTGAATGGAGAATTAAGCTCGTTTCTTTTTGTGATATAATTTTTAAATCAGAGTAAATTCACACACAGAGAATAAAATATATAAAGAATTAATTGTATCAAACTTCTAATTATTAATGATATATGTAATACTATATACATGTATTTTAGTATATAATCTGTACTTATGTTTAATCTGCAAATTAATAACGATACTCTCTCTAGTTTAATGTTATTAATTTAACGTTAGTAATAGTACGCTATCAAATATTTTATTATTAATGATAGTATAATACCTTCATCATTTTCCATAAATATAAAAATTAATTATTGTTTTCCTGTCGTGTAATAACACATATTATATTAATTATTTACGACCTACTAACCGAATCGTTTAGCTCGTAAGGAGAAGAGAAAAATTAGTAGATATACTTATAGAGCAGTTATAGTTTATCTACAAAAGACTCTCTAATCAAGTTACCTCAGACGCTCTTATAAATCCAATAGAACGAACCGTTAGATAATTCCTGATCACAATCCTAGTATATTGGGAACAACGACCCACGATTTTATTGGAATCATGATTTTCATTCGTGTCGTGTGATGATCTCTGCTGCTTCCTCTAAAATTCATCATTCGACGTGTTGCATAAGGACAAATGATCCAGCACGTAGCTAACACCTTCCTACGCTCTTAGACAAGTTAATGAGCTTCGCAGCAGCTGAAGAGGTCTCAGTGAACTTACTGAAGGAGCAACCAAGTTTCTCATTTCGCCGGAGGCAAATTATCGTCTTCGTTAAAGCAGAAACACTATTGTAATAATTAGTACTAGGCTGCCTTAGAAATTGAATTGATTATTCTTCGAAACTATTTGAGTGCGTAAAGAATACCTGTAATTAAGTAAAAGAGATAGTCGAGTCTTATATAATATTCGGAGAAGTATTAAAATGTTATAGATATACTGTATATTAATATAGTGCTCTTAATAAATAATTCAATTTCGATTCAACAAAAACGTCTCTTTAATTTAAATAATTATCTATAAATGTAATTTATAATACAAAAATATTATCTGTTTGTACGATATGAAATATATTTAAATATAACTTATTTCCTTCTCTTTTTGTATGTAAAAATCTTATAAAATCTTAAGCAAAAAGTTATTCTGTTTTATTTCTATAACGCGAAAAAGTGATTACAATAAACGCTATTGAAACTCAAAAACGTCTTTGCGAGATTTTACGACTTTATTTCTTGGACGAGACCCCACCCATTGTCATCATCATCACCATCAATATCATTGTTACTTCCATAACAATCGTTGTTACAGAACATTATTGTTTCCTTGCAGTTATTGTTATTGTTATGATTGATTGCAAAAATATTCCTTCTCTCTTTCCTTCTTTTATTATTGCAATGGCGTTCTGGACAAGTCTAGAGATGACACAACGCGTCAACAATGGTTACCACTTGCGATGACAAAAGAGAGGCTAGTCAGAGAATCTTGTTTTCTTTTTGGAACGACATACGTCGATCCTCGCAAACGATAATAAACAATCGTGTCTTCGGAATACATTTCGAGGTAGGCCGACCACGCGAAGATGCATCATCAAATCGTCTCGTAGTGAAATCGCATCGTTATCAAGTCCCCTCTTTTTTTTATCAAATTGAAAATGAAGTACATGACAAACTTTATCTTCTATATCTATACTATTTTAAAAAACAAATTAGAAATTTAATTGATGAAACAAAAAAAGTAAATTCGAAATATTTGGATAGGGCAAAAAGCAAATTAGCGAGTTTATGAGTAACTACACTAAAAGAAAAGATTGGCTGCTGCACTAATTGAGATAGTAAAATATTAATATAGCATTTTTAATTGATTTCTGCAACCAATTAAAAATACTACGCCATATTCAGTTTTTTCTTTTAGTATAAAATATTAGAAAAGTAGCGTTGAAAAATCATTAAAATTACCAATATTTTCAGAATGTTGTATTTTTTTTTGTCATGTTCCTTAGTTACTATGCGTAAGGTTCTTCTTATAATTGCGATGAAGGTCGTTGCGGTTGCACGTTTGCAGTAAACAAAGCATTTAAGAAGAAAAAATTCTGCATTTTATGATTAACGTTAATTTCAGTTCAATTTATTCTTCACCTTTTTTAATTTAAAATTAGAAAGAAAGAAGAGTTAGTTGAACTGAGGTTAAAATTAAACTACATTGATATAAACGGGCGTTAGTGCAGTATTCTGACATTAAAAGAACATAAAAATGGCTTACTTTGTCACATAATTACAACTTAACGGAGTCGTTAATAGAAGAAGCTACTCTGCTGTCACACTGCAGCCATTGCGTGCTATTTAGGATTAATTTATCACTGATTAGTACCCACGAAGGCACGTTCATTTCCGTAATCGATAATCAACGTCGTTGTTGCTAACTTTGATGCAACGGTAAAAACGACTCACATTGTATATGTATACATACTGAAGCAATACACTGCATATGGGATGGCTCTCGGGATTGATGCGTACATGCAGGTTTTACTAATGAGGAAAAGGTCATTTCCGGTCAAACAGAAAGCGGAAATGTAAGCGCGTGCTTAATCGACAATACTGTCAACAGCAGTATTTGATCACCAAAAGGAAGTTCGAAACGATTATTTTTAATAGAGGAGATAATAACAAATCGATCGGTATCAATCAAAATATGTGAACAAACATTTAATTTTGTAACATTACAAATGATTTTTATCACGTCAGAAATAAGCTTTGCGCGATTTTTTTGACAAAACTGTAAACAACAATACTTGGACATCTCGTAAGGAGACTGTAGACTATATACTCGAATTTATGTAGTATATAAATTCACAATTGTAATTCGGAAGTATACAAGCATCTAAGATCCAGTTAAACCTATATCTTAAATTTGTTATTATTTATCACAAAAGGTTTAGAGATGAGGTAGACAGACAATAAAGTTAAAAGAAAAAAAGGTGAAAGGAAAAAAGAGAGAAGATTAGAGAATCTAATTTTCTCTCGCAGAAATAAGGCAGGAAGAATAAATGAACCTTTGTAAAAACAGATAAAGAAAATATTCCGCAAATTGCACATCCTACAGAATATATAACTATTACTGTTCTAACTATTTTCTTTATTATCGAGATAATACAGCATTAAAGTACATAATTTCTGCAAGTAAAAAATATTGCAGTTCTTGTATACGCATCGAAATGATTTAAATAATACCATTTTCCTTTGCCTAAATTTTATGTAGCACTTTCTACAATAGTATATATTTTATGTAAGTTTTTAAAATATGTTTAAGATTTAAAATAATGTTAACAAAAAAAGAAACATTAAAACAGTTACTTATGTGAAAGAAAATATCTATAAAATATATGAAATAATTATAAATACTTCTTTTGAGATATTTATTTAAATCAAATTAAAGAGTCGATATATGAAACTGACGTACAATAAGGTGTATGTACACTTTATTTTAATATAATAGATTTCGTTGCACTCATAATATCATATAACAGTATAATATTATGTTGAAAGAATAATTTGTACGAAATTATTAATAAAAATAATTTTTCTAATTTTTCAAAATTAGAAATTTAAGTATCATACATATTTAAAAGCGTATCACATAGATAAAAAATAAATAAAAGTTGTAAGATAATAGACATAAGAATTAGTGTTTGAAAATATTTGTCTTAATCTTTTTGCTCATTATCATCATTTAGATATTCTAAACGTTTGTTTGCAAAAATCTGTAAATGGATACGAATTTTTTATTACTTCCCAGGAGCAAATCCAACCCGGTTCTTCTTCATATCGAACTCGATATAATATCGCCGTATAAATACATTTCCTAAAACCCACTTATCCGATATCACTTCATCGACATCTAGACCCTCAAAAGCACTCACACACTTGATCGTATCGTTTACTACAACCTATAACAGATTGAATGTGACATGACATTTCTATTTTAAATTAATTTAAAACGTCATTTATTGATATTTACCTTGTTAATATAATCTTCACTAGTGAGATTAAATGAAACGCCATTTAACACAAAACTGATATTGGGCAAAGAAGGAATCTTATTGCAATCCACCTTTAAAGAAAACGCGGTATTAGAAAATCAGTAATATATCAAACAATTATTTTATATAAACGTTTATTAATATTATATATTTCAATGATGTTGAAAGAGACTGCAAAAAGCCACTGCGAATAGTGTCATTATTTACAATTATTTCTTCCTCAATGTAAGTAGCTCCGATCAGTTCATTAATAGAATTAATATCCACTGATGGTCCAATTAGCAGGGTAGTACCCGTGTCGATTAAGGCTTCACAGCCTTCCGAACATAAAATGCTATGTCCTATTTTAATCCTAAAGTTGCAACCACAATAACAATTATATACAATATACAATCTACAGCCGACACACACACATACTTGTAATGTAGAAAATAGTCACCTACTTATCTATCGTAAATTGCCAGCCTACTTTTTTGGTAACATCAACATATGTAAGCTCGCCTAAATAATAATTGGGGTTGGAACCACCCAATATTAGTTCACCAGCCAATTCGGATGCGGCACTTCTGTATAGATTATATATTTTTTAATATAGGAAACAAATTTTTTAAATAAAAAATATTTTGAAACACTTGTGACACATAAAGAACGATACACACCGATTTACATAAATACTAAAAAGTGGCTCCACCAAGCCTTGTTTAATCATGTTATTAAATATAGGAGTCATTCCTTTGGCAACTACTCCTTCGGGATATCCCATTCCCAAGATACCGTCAAATTTCGAATAGACAAATGCTGTTCCTGATTGGTCTATTGCTTCCCCAAATGTTTGATTTTGGATGTTAAGGCTACCAAACTAGAAGAAATTGATGTAATAATTTTTAGAAAATTTTTAGAAATTATTATTAAAATTATATACACCATATTCGTGACGATAGCTCATATACTCACATTCACTACATCTATAGATAAATATCCGGACACTTCACCACTACTATATGGAATATTGAATGAAGTATCATTTTCCACATATGTGCTAGATTTTTCAAACTCATATCTATTATGTGTCCCTGTATGAAATAATGCGTAAAAAAATTAATCACTTTTTGAATGATAAAGATTCTTGAAATTAATTTTTCTGTATGAATTTAAATATACGTAAAAAAAATTGATAGTTGTTTAATCATCAAGTGTAAATTTATATTTATATATTTTGCATGAACACGTAATTTGTAATTGGTTGTAAAGATTATTTTTACTCTTAAAACAAGTATAATGAATAAAATTAATTGCATGTAATTGTAAAACTTAGCTCCATAATGTTTATCTGCTTGATGATTTTAACTTTCGTAATATTAAAACTTAGATCTTTTTTTTCATTATTTTAAACTTTAATATTTAAGAAATTTTATTTGAAATGTAAATAGGAAAAATACAATTCTACAGCATCATCTCTATTCTAAATTTTTACGTCAATTATATCAACTTGATATAAATAATTCAAAAATAGAAAAAAGCAATAAAAATGATTTTAATATATGTAAGAATAATACTGTTAAATGTACATGTAATTTTATATATAAAAAAATAAAATATTAAAGTAATAGTGACATTATGACATACTTACAGCAAGCAACGTTATGTAAATCACAGTTTGAAGAAGGTACCCATAAATCCGAGGAACCAGTGTCGATAAGTACTTTAAATATCTGCGGTGGGGTTCCGATTGTGATATAGACGTAGTAAGAAGTATTGTAATCATTAAATAGAGATTCCCTTAGAACGATAGTACTTCTAGTTAAACGATCCTGTCGACGATCAATGCTAACTGATTTTTCAATAGAGCTTGTCTTATATAACGAAATTCTGGAAGCACCATAAAAAAATTCCATTATATTTTACAATTTGTATATGTTATGGGCAATTTGATTAATTCGGAATTTATATAATAGCCAATCAATATGGATAACGGCTGCTTGTTTTGGAAAATTTGAATAATATTATAGAAGCAAAAATGTCCAAAATAATCAAAATGTGATTAGTTATGAATTATGCCCACGTACAAGTGAAAAATGTGGTTAATAAATTGAAACATTGAAAATATTTTTGTAAAATAAGTTTGTTTTCTACAATCTCAACTTGTTACTCATTACATACTATGCATTTAAATATTTATTTATTTATTTAATTCCTTGTACTTTTAGTGTTTTAGTTGTAGTTTGTTTCTGCCAATTAATGTCTAAAAAGAACTTTTAATATATAATTATTTTGTAGAAGTTTATATAATTGCATGTAGGTTATTCGCAAGCTGCTTATTTACGTAACAAAAACCAAAAGTATTACGATTTTGTTATAAGTATTCTAATGAAATAAATATGTATAATTTTTTTTAAACATGTGTCTTTATTTACATAAAAAATTGAATTTTTACTTTACATTAACAAAAAAATTATATGTACAAAGAACATATTTGTCAAATAAATTAATGAAAAAGAATGTTTATTTATTAATTATAAAGATAAAACAAATTAAAAAATACATAAATGATAAAATTTAATAATAAGTAACGTGTCGGTCAACTAAGTATAAATATTAAAAAGGGGGAGACACAAACTAAACAAAATACATTTAATAAGCGTTATAGAAATCTCTCTCAACACAAAGAAAAATTATTTTACTTATTTTTTAAAATTTGTAAGTAGGTATAGTGTTTTCTTTTTTTTGTTTAGAATTTTTGGAGAGTAGAAAGAAGATTACATTTTGAACTAGTATGATATTCGAATCGTATTGATAAAATTCGATTTACAGCAATATATTCACATCTATTTAATACAAAAACAAAATCAGAATGGGTAAAAAAAATGTCTTATACTGTTTTATAATCCGATTTATCAAAATGATCATTTAGCATTGGAGGAAATGTACTATATAGTAACCGAAAAATTGGAATAATTCTTTTCTATTAATTATATTGACCAAACAAATTGGGAATTGTGCATATTAACCGGTCATTATATATAATTCCCAATTAATTGAATTACTTGTATAATATATATATGAATATTATACAAAATACACAAATTGAGTGATCATTTTCAAACGTTTTTTTATTGAAAATGATTAAAACCTCAATATTATTAAATATTGTCAATTTTTTTTTAGTTTCAATAAATAAATATTATTTGTATTTATCGATATACATATCACATGATATATTTAGTTTAGTTATTTTTTATTCGTAACATTTATTAAAGAAGAAGTCCTAGAGAAAATTTCGAACATTTCTTTATTTGACATACAAACCACATTCTTTCAAATTTGTTTTAATTATCATTGAAGTATTAATCGCAAATCATTATTTATATGTGCTTGTCAGCTCACCTATGCAATTCCGCGTTGATCAGCACGAGTGCGGCGACCGTCACGAAAAGTCGAAACATGTTTTTTGAATTTTCTGGTAGTTAAGGATGCAAGAATTAAAAAAACTATAGAGAGCGTTGTAATTCTCTGTCGCGCGAATCTCTTAACGGTCAAACGCACAAAGGACGTAGTCAACTATAGAGTTCTTAATACAAATATTGTTTATATGTGAGCTTATGTGTACGTTCTTGTGTTTATAACAGAGTGGAAAGTAAAATAAAAAGAGAGAGCGAAACGTTCTAAAAACAATCCTAACAGCTAAATGTAAAATGTAATAATTTTTTAAAAAATTGCATTTTTCATATGTATACTCATATTTCACATATACTCATTAAACAGGGATGGGAAGTAACTCGTTACTTATAACGATGTTACAGTTAGAGTTACTTTCTTCAGTAACTGTGACTTAACTTCGTTACTTTTTTTCCATCTGTAATTATAACTTAACTTAGTTACATCTTCTAAGTAACTGTACTAACTTATTTAATAGTTATTGTCATAGTTATTTTATATATTTTAAACTTATTTGTCAATTTAGTGTGCGGTAGTATTCCACTTGGCGCTACAAATGCTCTGAAACATTTGATTAATCACAAGAAAGAAATTTAATTAAAGCATTCAATAAACTCTTGTACCTGTTTAGTCTATATTTTTGAGTCTAATGGAATCCGCTAATCAAATGCAAGAGTGCTCAATGAACGGTTGTAATACTAAATGCACCTGACCATCTGAGCCGTATGTTTTCTGAATGCAATCACGTAATTTTGGATTAGTGCTGGAATTTATTTGCAACTTTTAGCCGAATATAAAAAGAATTATTTTTACAAAATTGTATATGTGTGCTATTTCATATTTATATTCATATGTGTTAATATTACTTTAACGGAAAACGTCTTTACCATACAATTTTCTCATCTTTTTGAATAAAATTGTATAACATGTAAATGTAAACCGGTCTTCTTTTTAATTGTCTTAGGCTGCATTACTATGATGACCCCGAGTATCATTCTTGTTTAATATTAGATGAAAAACAAGTGTAAAACGATACACAAATGCAATCGAGTAGTTTCTGAATGCAATTCTAATGGTACCGAAGCTACTAGTGAAAATTCCGATGAAAAAAAAACTCGAAAATACTTAAAAGTAACTTAAAGTTACTTTTTCAGTAGCTGTAACTGTAACAAATTACTTTTCGGAGTCAATATTTGTATAATAAATTGTATAATAAATTGTAACAATAAAAAATTAATTACTTTTTGAAAGAGAAAAACTGTGTAACTGTAATTAATTATTTTTACAAAATAACTTTCCATCCCTGCTCATTAATGTATATCAAAGAATTTAAATAAATTCAATGATTATAAAAAAAAACAAAATTAATCTTTAAAAGAATATTATTATTTCAAAATTTCAAAATTTGAAGCATTTTCTAAATTTCCGAGAATGCTCTTAATATCAAAATTTTAAATTTTTTTAAATTTTCTACATTTCCAAAAATTTGAGATTGTATGCTGCAAAGATATAAATTTTAATAATCGGCAAGGTATTGAAATTAGGAACAAGGTAAAATAAATATTTCAATCAAAAATAACATCTTTATTCTTGTTTTACATTTATAAGTAGGATAAGAACTAAGATAGATAACATTACAATAACATTATATTTAAATATTAAAATATTATTAAAAACCAGTAGAATATAATTATAAATATGTAAAATATGAATAACAAATTATATACGTTCTTATAATAAAATATGTAAGCGTGTTTTAAAAATAAAAAACGGATAATATAGTATAATATATATGCCTAAATCATACACATATGATATTTTATTTTATTTAAAATAATGTGATGTTTAGAAAGTATGTTTTTGAAATATGTAAACCATAAATAAAAAATAAGCTATAGAAATCATTAAAAAATTTGTCTTAATTATAAATTATATTATTTATATTATTATAAATTATATTTATTATTATGATAGATAATAATAAATTATTACTATCATTTATATCTTTAAATATTTAGAAATAATCTTGAAAAGTCAATCAATAATTATTTTGCAGTGGCAAATCCTAGTCTTTTTTTCCCAACGTCGAACTCAATATAGTATCGACGAAGAAATACATTACCCAAAATCCATTTTGATTCTTCAAGAGAGTCTACAAAAAAACTTACGCATTTTGTCTCATTGTGTGATCTAAACTATAATAAATGAAAATTAAAACAGATGTATAATAATATTTTCTGTCATAAAACAATTTAAAATAATAAAAAATGATTTTGAAACAATATTTCTATTCTAAACCGTTATTTGACCATATCTATTTACCTTATAAATATAATCTTTACCAGTGAGTCTGAATATATTACCACCTATGAAAAGATCCACATTGGGCACATTAGAAATCTGGTCACATTTCACCTTTAACAAAGCTAACAATTAGTAATATATACAATAAAATATTTATCAGTTTATTTAGTAATATCAAAAAAGAGTTGTATGCTATTGCGAACAGTTGTTATCTATTATTTACATATGTCTGTCTGTGAGGAGCAATAACTCCGGTCAGATCCGATGATGGTCCTATTAGATAGGAGGTGCCCGTATCGATGACAGCTTGACAACGGTTCTCGCATACAGTGGTACCTCCTATTCGAACCCTGTACAGTATATACAGCGATAGTATAATATTAACAATTAAGTGACATACAATACTGGGCAACAATAAAGATGTATACTAAAACAGCCAATTCTTATTAATTTTGTGGTGAAGATAACGAATGTCAAATTAAATTAAATTTTAATTTTGGTTTTCATAATGCATTAATTGTAAATATTAATAATCTGATGTCACTGTCCAATGCTATCTTGCAATAGAAGCATAATAATGAATAATCATTTTTGACGTATTTTTGTATACTGAATATGAATCCGCATCTAAACTTGACTATATTATGTCACAATTTTGAAGAAAAAATGACACCAAAAAGACTGAAAACAATGGTCTTAAAGATTTTCATAACATAATACTATAAGAGCAACCTTTTTTTAAATATTATTAATAATTTTGTTAGAGTAATGCAATATTAAGAAGAAATAAATTCCCTTTTTCATGTATTATATGGGAAAAGAGCTACTTTTAAATTGATACGTCTTTGAAATAAATCATATCGAATTTCACACACATATTAAAATAAAACAAAATATAATTAAAAATTAGATATCTTTGCATGGCATGAATAAAACAAAGTTATTTTATAACATCATAAAAACTCTTAATTTTTGCTTCTTTAATACAAAAGTCGTTTTTGCTTGATTAATGTAATTTTCTCGAAATTATGAGCTAATATAACTTGATTTAAATAAACAGATTCGTGTTCAGCAAACAAAAAATCTAAAATGATTATTCACATCTGCGATAAAAAAAAGAGCGTTGTTGCCCAATATAGTCTGTAGTCGACATACGCATAATTTGAAAAATAATCGCGTACTTATCCATGGTAAATTGCCAGTATCCTCTGCGGGTAACATTAACATACGTTAACTCATCAGTGTAATAAGCGTAATTGAAACCACCCAACACCAACTCACCACCTGCCGTGGGCCTTCTATATAGAAAGACAAAATTTTTTTAATATATGGAAAGACAAATTCTGTATATGGGGGAAGGTAAACTATTTAAAAATATTAGACACATGCCGATTTAAATAGATACTAAAAACTGGTAGCTCTACAAAGCCTTGTTCTATCATGTTTACAAAAATAGAAGTCATTCCTTCGGAAGACATCTCAAGGTAACCCATTCCCAAGACACCATCGAATTTCTTATAGTCAGAACTGGATCCGAATCCAGTTACCGCTTCTCCAAATATTTGATCTTCAATATTACATCCAGCAAACTGTAAAGTTGATGTTTCTTTAAAGAAATTTTTGTAAAATATAACTGAGATTGAATAAGACTGTTTTCCTGACAATAACTCACATTTACTATATCAGTTGACAAATATCCAAATATATTATATCCACCGTTATATACAATACGGAATGTTGTATCTCCACTTGATGTGTATGTGGCAGACTTTGTATTGTCATATGCATTATGTGACGCTGTAAAAAATAATCGTAAAAGTAAATCGATTACTATTAAATATTCTAAAAGTAAAATTTTCTTCATTAATTTATACAGTATGTAAATGAACAATATTTTGAATAACAAAAATAAGATATTATAAACTTCGGTATTATAAACAAGCAAAAAGAAGTAAGCAACAGATGACAATCTTTACATTAATCTCATAATTTCAAAAAGCGAAACGTTTCGACTCATACAAAAGTCCTCTTCAGTCTTAAAAATTTTTACACAAATAGTATTTTACACAAATTTATTTGAAAGTGTATCTAACTTACAGCAATTTCAGATGCTCTATGTAGAATTTTCTTTCTTCAAATCGAAAAATAATATAAACTACTGGAAGAAAGAGAAGAAAGAGGAAGAATTTAAAGAAAGAGAATTGTACATAGAGCATATGAAATTACCGTAAGTTAGATACACTTTCAAATCAATTTTATAAGTATGTATTCTTATTGGTTGCACAGAATCATGATGCGGATAATTTTCATAATACAACTGTATGAGATAGTTTTCTTTCGTTTTTTTAATAAACTGACTAATAAAAGAACATTTATGACTTGTTGATCATAATTCGTTTAATTGTTATACATATTTTATTATTATACTATTTGTGTAAAAATTTTTGAGACTGTGAAGAGGACTTCTGTATGAGTCGAAACGTTTCGCTTTTTGAAATTATGAGGTTATTGTAATAAAGATTGTCATCCGTTGTTTACCTCTTTTTGCTTGTTTATAATACCGAAATTTATAATATCTTATTTTTATTGTTTTTAAAATATAACAAGCGTTATCTTAACATTTATATTTTTAATATTTTGAATCATTAAATGTATTAATATTTATATTTTTTACTTAAATACATAAATTGTATTTTATATGTATCAAAAATTATTTTTATATTTACAGAATAAGTATGAAATAAAATAAATAAACAAAAAAGCAAATAAAATAAACCGCTAATAAGATTTTGAATACAGTATATAATATTTGTTTATTCGTTAATTTTTATTTTTGAAACCTTATAAAAGTTTTAAATTTTAAACAATTTAAAAAATTGTATGTAAAATGTAAATAGATAAGAAAGATATTATCTATAATCTTATTTAATAATTATTAAAATAAAATTAAAATTATTTCCATATGTGCAATAAAAATATACTAAATATAAATATATTTGTATAAATAATGAAATAATTATACAGTAAAATTTAGATAAAAAAATAAATTAAATTAAAAGAAACAAGTCTAGTTTTTAAAATAAAATTCGGTGATTGATAATGCTTTATATGCAAAATTTCCAAAAAGGATTTTAAATTCTATAAACTGCGCTCTAATTCAGTTTGCCAGGCTTAAAATGTAATTATAAACTAAAACTGAAAACAATATCACAAATCACATTGATTGTCAATTTGATAATAATGCTAATGAATATTTTAAATAATATGTAGAATATCGTAGAAATAGCGATATTATGATATAAACTGCATTTGAAATATCACTATGTTAATACTGAAAACCTATATGGTTTACGTTACGTGCACAATAATTTTTCATTGATTTGGCAAGATTTTAACTATAGAACACAGCCATACTTACTGCAATTAAGAAGGCATTCTTTGGATGGTACCCAAAAATTTGAGGTACTAGTATCGATTAGTACTTTAAAGTGCTGCGGTGGAACTCCAATTGAAATAATGACATAGTACGAATAATTATGATCATAAAACATATATTCTTTTATGCCCTTATGCGAAATCAAACTAATCTGTCGACGATGTATGCCTGATTCTTTCCAAGATTTTTGAATAGAATGTGTCTTGTATAATGGAATTCTTGAGAAGCAATACAAAGATTTCATTATAGAATACACATTAATAGTACACATTTAATAAGGAGATTACGTTTTTGGAATTGATATAATACATATATTTATACGTACTATTTAAATAAATATATGCATGTATAAATCATACAACATACATATATACGAATTTTGTAAAAATCATCTCTGAATATTATATATTTCTTATTTCTAAGAATTATTAAAGCTTCAATATGTTGATATTAAGAAATAACTGCTATCAGTATTAAATCTATTTACATATCAAAATAAAGTTTAGACTGTTAAATGCAAATTGCTCCGTTTGTAATACTTATTTTATTTAAGACGTGATAAAGACGATAAAAATACAAATATCAAAGGAATTCTTAAAAGCACTTCTTTATATCCCCATTTTACTCTGTACAAAGTATATTTCTCTACAGATTTGTTTTAATAATCGTTACATTTATTGCCAATAAAAGTTTACATTTGCTTACCTTAACAATTTCGCGTCAATCAGTAGGAATGCTGCGACTGTAACGAGAAGACGAAACATATTTCCTAAATTCTTTTATTAAAACTACAAAAATTAAGATTTTAAAAACGTTATAACTTTTTTTTTAATTAGGCTACAGTCAAATCACACAACAGAAAAGAAACAAAATCAATCATTAGTGCCTATACATATTACATGGCCGGAGACCGCGTCTACTGATACACAATTACATTGTATATGCGATGCTGTTTATATACGAGCTTATGTATACACGTGCTATTTAAAAGTGTGAGAAGGACAAAAGAACGTACAAAACGTTTTAAGAGCAATCATAATAATTCTTTTCATTAATCTAATCTCTAATCAATTTCTTTTTAAATTCTCTTCGTACATATTTCGATTATACGAATCAGCGTGACTATATGTATTTGAATAAAATCAATGATTAATGAAAAAAAGACGAAATATTAATCTAAATCAAAGTAATTATAAGGCTCTATATGTATAAAACAATATAAATATAAAATTTAATTTATAATACTTTATATATTTTATGTAACATTGAAAATGACCCGATCGGAGTCGTAACGTTTGTTTTAGATATATTTATATGATTGTTTAAATTAAATTAGTCGTTAAATTACTTGTTGCCTTCTTTATATTTATACTGAAATATTAATCGTTAAAAGTATACATTCTCCTTGATATCATAACCCAGGCTGCATTCGGAAACATTACCCAGGTTTTCCCAAGTATCATCTTATCCTTGTTATTCATTCAATGTTAAACAAGGATAAGACGATACACGGGGGTACTCGAGTGATATTTCCGAACGCAGTACCAGATAAATGTCACATGATTGTATTAACTTGGTTTAATAATATTATGATTTTTTATATTTATAGTATAATTGATTTATTTTATGTACACAACATTTATTGAAATCTCAATAAATCCTTACATTTTTCGTATCTGTATATACATTGTATACGAGATTCCGTTACAGAATTTACCATTTGTTTTAATCGATCCTGTTTCATCTTGATTACGTTTAATCATATTTATAGCCCTTAAAAGTGATTATTTCGAAAACTAAATTTTTTTGTATAGTTCGTTTATTTAAAAAAAAATACAATGTTTATTAAAGTTAAAAAAGCGGCTCAAGTAATAAAAATCAATTATTATAGAAAACAAGAGCTACGAGTCAATAAATACAATTAATCTTTTTATCAATTTACCAAACTTTCTTAATTTTACGTTTTATTCTTATAAAATTATTTTATTCTATGTAACACACATTTTAATACTTGATTGAGCCTTTTAATATTTTTAATCATGTTCAATGATTCACACGATTTAAATTTTATAAAAAAGTTGAGATGCACACCATCATCGCAACAACACTAACCGCAATCTACCGATTACTGCGCTACAATCACCAATAGAGAAAAGTGATACTATAATGTTGCTGTTCTCAAAGAAATATCACACAAGAATTAGCTGCATATACATCAAGTTACAAGTAAGCTCTTCTTTTAGTATGCGTTATAATTTTAATTTTCTCCGATGTTATAACAACATTGAAAATTACCTCGTGTGAGGTAGAAACGTTTGTTTTGTTTAAAATTTAAAACTTGTTATTATATAAATGTATTTGTTTCACTGCTTTATTATGTAATTATTTTTAATATGCCCTTGTTAAAAATTTGTAATTGTATTTATTTATTGGTTCGTATTATAAATAGTGTTCATTATTATTATAAATTCTTTAGAAATGGCTGATAATTATAGTAATATAATACAGAGAAAGTACCCTTCATATTATACCACCGCTTGTATAATATGAATTAATCATTCCTAAAGGCAAATCCCATCCGATTGTACTTCATGTCGAACACGATATAATACCGACGTAGAAATGCTTGTCCCAAAAGCCAAATCGATTCGTCATTGAAATTACTTTTCTTCGTATTCGCAAAAGCGCTGAGACACTCCATCGTACCGTTCACCATATTCTACAACAAATTGAATATGAAAATTGAGAGAGAATATTTCTATTCTAAAACAATTTAAAAATATTATTAATTTGACGTTATTTACCACATGAATATAATCTGTATAAGTGATTTCGAATGATTCACCACCTATGAAGAAACTGATATTGGGAAAATTAACTGCCCTATCGCACTCCACCTTCAAACGAAGCTTAATGTTAGTAATCTATAATACATTAATTAGTGTAATCGATAGATCCCAGACATTGGAACACAATAACAGAGCACGCACGGAGCACTCTGCTGCACGCGAGTCGAATGCTTGCCGAAATGACATAGCAACATTTCGGCTGATGCACGATTCTTTATAAGTACCTATAAACAAAATATGCAATGGTTCTCTACGCGCGTCCTATGATTGTACTTGACCGGGACCTAATAATTGATATAATATTAAACATTTATTAATATATTTCAGAAATACATTTAATATTAATATATGTATATATTATGTACATAATTGTCATATAATTGTTGAAAAAAAACTGCCACTGCGAAAAGTGGCATTATTTACAATTGTTTTTGCCTCTTCAGCATAAACTCCTCCAATTAGTTTGTTAATAATTTCAATATACACAGATGATCCAAGTATTAGATTACTAGCCGTGTTGACAAGAGCTTCGCAGCCATTCAGGCATAAGGTGATATTTTCTATTTGAATCCTAAAGTGCGACGGCATTAACAATTAGTTGGTATATAATTTATTGCTAACATACATATACTTTAGAACATAATTACGTACTTATCCATCCTAAATTGCCAGTATCCTTTGCGAGTAACATCAACATACGTAAATTCGCCTAAATAATGATTAGGATCAGAGCCACCTAAGATTAGTTCACCAACCAATTCGGATATAGAACTTCTGTACAGATTATACATTTTTTAATTGAGAAAGACACATATTTTATAATATGAAAAATTAAACTATTAAGATAAAGGCCGGTATTCATAGTCAGTTCTTATATTCAAGACCGTCTTAAGTTCAGTTTTGAGGAGTTACGAACCAATCAGAGGGCCGCTTTAGCATCTTAAGACATTACTTAAGGCAGTCTTGAAATAAGAACCGACTATGAATACCGGCCAAAGAGATATTTTTAATCACACATATAGAGCGATACATGCCGATTCACATAGAGACTAAAAACTGGCTCAATTAAACCTAGTCTAAAAATATTATTGAAAACGGAAGTTACTCCTTTGATATATGCCATTTCCGGATAACCCATTCCTAAGAGTCCATCGAATTTCAAATGGATAAACATAATTCCTGATGCTTTTATTACTTCACCGAATACTTGATTTGGAATATTAAAGCCAGCAATCTACAAAAAAATTGATGTATTCTTTTAGAAAATATTTATAAGTGATAATTAAGAAAATAGAGTACTTTTTTGCCTGACGATGACTCACATTCGCTACATCCGTACTTAAATATCCGTGCACAGTTCCATGTGTGTACGTAACATTGAAAATATCAGCATATGACTCGAAGGTTATGGATTTTTCGTAATTATAAAAATTATGTGATTCTGTATAAAATAGTATGTACAAGTAATCAATTCATATGAAAAATTTTAGAATTTTTTCTGTAATAATATTTAATACACTTTTCAACAAAATTATAAGTAAACTTATATTAAAATTTTACATTAAGTAATTTCGTGAAAAATAGTGGTATTTAAAAGCCCTTTTTTCTCATTATCTTAAGAATAAAATTTGTTATACTTTGTGAAAATTTGTGTAAACTTTAAATTCATTCTTCCGCTCACCGTCGTTTTTAAAATGAACACGTGTTACACCTCCAAAAAATTATATAATTTAACGCACTTTATGAACTAAAATAAACCTTTTTCGCAAATGTCATGATAATCTAAATTAAGGAAAACTGATGAGAACATATCGTAACGGTCAAGCTGGATCTTGGGTGCTTCTATAAAATTGCGTGTGAATTTATATATCATCTACGGATGTAGATTTTTAATAACGCGCCGAATTTTTTTCAGACTTGAAATCCGAATTCTAAGTGAGTAAGTTTACACTTAAAAATCTGGTGTTTCCACTTCGTCTTTAAATGACTTTTTGTAAACGCTTATATATATTCACACAAGCTATTGTTTGTGACATAAGGAATCATATTCAGTGTAGTGTTGCTTCTGTTTCCTAAAGATCCATTTAGTAATCTTACCAAATAAGTTCGAATCATATTCGCAACATAAATGATAATTTAAGTAAATTTAAACTAAAAGTGAGTGAAAACTGAAATAAGTATACAATAACATAAGTATTACCCTTATAATTATAGTATTATTAGTACTACTCTTATAATTATAGTACTGTTTTACTAGAGTATTTAATTCCATCAAAAACATGAAGCTTTTTCGTCCATTTCATGCGATAATATTTCTAAACAGCACATTGATTATTTAAAGATTGTGCTTGTACTCTCAAGAAGCAATCAATGATTGTATAATGTAATTTTAACGTCAATGCAAAGAGATATTGTTGCTATCGTAAATTTTTATATTACTATAAAGTTGAAACTAATAGAATAGCTCCGCTTTATCCTAATAGGAAAAAGTTATGAAGTTTGGAAAGTCCGCGGTAATTATTTAAATAGTCTCTCCTATTTTAAATAATTACTATATTTTTAAATTTACTAGAAAAAATCCATATTTATTTCCAATATTATAATTATCAATATTTACGAAAAAAATGTATTTTATCTTATAAAGTACGACAAAGTATGTAATTTTTTGAAACATAAGATGCCCTTACTTTAAAAAAAAAACAAGTAGGAGTTGATAAATAAAATAATGTAATCATGAAACTTATTTCTATAATATTTATCTATCAAATAATTATAATTTTTGAAATTTTATAACTTTCAGATTTTTAACTATCTAAAACTATATTTTATTTAATTTTTATTTTAAATATTTTCAAATTTTATTTAAAACGTAATGAAAAAAATACAATTCCACAATATCATCCCTATTTTATAAGTATATGTACGTCTATTATACTTGACATCAATCATAAAATAGAAGAAAATAATAAAAATTATATCCGTATATAACAATGATATCTTATTAAATATAAACATAAACTCTTATAAAATTAGAATGCTAAAGAAATAGCAACGTTATAGAAATAACACTTACCGCGAGAAACATTATTCAAAATGTAGCATTTTGATGGGATCCACAAATCTGAAGAAGCAGTGTCGATAATTACTTTAAACTTCTGCGGTGGAGTTCCAATTGTAATAACGATATAATACGGAGCACTTGGATATAAATATCCATTGAATAAAGGTACCTTGGTTACAATACCAGTGCTCACTGGAATTAGACGACTCTTTCGATGATAGATGTCAATCGATCTTCGAACGGAGTTTGCCTTATTTAATGGAAATCTTAAAGCAACATGAGGAAAATTATTGTATATTTTATATATGGGGCATTCCATGCCAAGTAAGCCACCCAATTTTTGGGCTTTCTCGTTGCAGCGCTCTTTTCGCTTGTCGTTAGTGGGCATGAAAGGCAATTTTGAAAATAAAGTGCAGACGTATTCTTATAGAAAATTGAACGCTCTTTCACGTAAGAATATTCTTTTTTTGATCAGACCGGTTTACGATGATGTTTTTCAGTTTTGAACTTTTCAAAATGGCGGCGCGCCTAAAAGGCCGCTCTCAATTTTCTTTTAATATAGCTCAAAATGTAGCTCCAGGTCTCTACTTTGTTACTCTAAAAGGACTTAATGGCACACGCATTCGTTTAGGAGTAAGAGCTAGGAAAGTGAGGCAATGTCGCTCCGTCCCCCTGCCGCACCACTCATTTTCCTCACTTTCCTAGCTCTTACTCCTAAACGAATGCGTGTGCCATTAAGACCTTTTAGAGTAACAAAGTAGAGACCTGGAGCTACATTTTGAGCTATATTAAAAGAAAATTGAGAGCGGCCTTTTAGGCGCGCCGCCATTTTGAAAAGTTCAAAACTGAAAAACATCATCGTAAACCGGTCTGATCAAAAAAAGAATATTCTTACGTGAAAGAGCGTTCAATTTTCTATAAGAATACGTCTGCACTTTATTTTCAAAATTGCCTTTCATGCCCACTAACGACAAGCGAAAAGAGCGCTGCAACGAGAAAGCCCAAAAATTGACGGTTCTACAGTTCAGTAACCAGTTGGCCTACAGGTATATTATTTGGCATAGAGTCTTTATTCATCAAACTGTTCAAGTTCACGCAATATGAACGAAATCCATGGAACTTCGCAAAATGGGTGGCCCACTTGGCGTGGAATGCCCCATATATGTACCACATAAATGCGAATGTATAAATGCTGTACAACATATGTACGAATTGATTGACCATTTACAAACTCTTCTCATTTTTAAAAATTATTAAAGTTAATTTAGGTATTAAGAAATAAATACTATCTGTATTTATGAATTCACGTATTATATGAAATTTAATTATTTTAAATCTAAGATTTTCGTCCATGATGCTATTTAAGACATGATAAAAGGTCTGAATCCCGATACACACGCACACACACACACACACAATGCGCAAAATCCGATTAGCAGCCTTCCCTTGGTGCATCAAATAATGCTAACGATGACACGACACAGGTAATTGAACAAAAATGCATAGATTATTTTGATGTGCCGTATCTCTGCAACAAAAAATCTTTACTTTTTTAAAGTTGTGAGAAAAAATCCATATTTTTAAGATGATTATCGTAATATTTGCGAGAAAAAAGATTCATTACACCCCACAGAGTATGTCAAGTGCAATTGTTTGAAGACATATCTAACACTTTTTTACTTTAGAAAAGATGGTAAGCGGAAATAAGGATAAATTCAAAATTTGTGAAAATCTTCTTAACGTACAGATTTATATCCTTATAATGAAAAAGAAATTTTTACGTCCATTTTTCACGGAGTTACGCTTACTTGAAACTATGCAAAATTTTGATATAAATTTGTGTTGCGATAATTTTATTGACGAGTGTATATATGTTCATACCTTCGCAATTCTGCATTGATCAACACGAAAAGTGCCGTGAACGTCACAAAAAGGCGGAACATGTTTTCCGACTTATAATTCGGTTAAAACTAAAGTTACAAGAATCGAAAAGATTTTAAAGGTGTTATAATTCTCTTTCGAATCTATTTATAATCAAAACGTACAATAGAAAAGGATGTGACTATTAGAACTCTCAGTGATGTTTATAAACAATCTTATGTTTATATGCTTATATTTATAAAATAATGAAAAAGACGATAGAACCAAACACAGCGTTCTAAAAGCAATCCTCTAAGCTCAATCTAATCAGTAATCATGTTTTAAAAGATTGCATTTGTTGTATACATACATTTTTATTTCAAATATAATCATTAATGCGAGACTTAATAATTTTAAATAAATTGAATGATTAGCGTAACAAAATTAATCTTCAAAGAAATGTATTGTTTGTCTTTATAAGGATTATATAATTAATGTTACAATTCTTTTAAGCTTGAATATTCATACATCACAGCGAATCATTTCGAGCTATAAAGAATTTTTCTAAACTCCCGGAAGTCCTCATCCCTCCAGTCTATCTCTTTCACTGTCGAGAATGTCTTTAAGTTCTTTAAAATTTATTGTATTTCGTACAATTCTGAACTTTTATGCAAAAACTTAAATTCTTGATAATTGTCAAGGTATTAAAATGTAATTAAGTAAAATACAAGAGAAATTACAAGATATAATTATAGTACAAGGGGTAAAATAAATCTATAAATCATATCTTCAAGTATCTTAATTTTAAAGATATACCATACATTATAAATAAGACTGTGATAAATAAAATATGCTTAAATATTGAATGTTAATAAAAATTTGTAGAATATGATTATAAATACGTAAAATGCATGTGTGTGTGTGGATAATAAATTACATATACATACACTTAATTAAAAATATAACCGTATTCTTGTTAAAAATAAGAACAGATGTATATAAATAGGTGTATTTAAACAATCCCACACGTTATTTTAGGTAATTTAGAATATGTGAAAACAATAAACTGCGTTTTCTTAAGAAAATGATTAAGTAAGTAAAAATATGAATTACATTAAAGTCATTTTTGAAGACTATGAGAGTTTATTAAATATACTCAAAATATTATATATTAAATCGAATCAATTAAAATAGATGCTAAACGATCCCCTAGTGAAATTGTGTTATGTGACGGTCATATACAAGAAATATAAGGAATTTAATTGTTGAGAAAATGATAAAAAAATGCCATGTAAGTTGTATATCCCACGCAACGGTTAATTATTATTGTTCTAACTATAATATTTTCTTTTATACTACTATCAAGATATCGGCTACAAATTTATGTTGCATTAAAATCAATTTCTGCACTAAAAAGATATCCTAAAAAACTAATAAACAATAATAAGCAAGGCCAAAAGCTTAAAAAGATTATATTATTTGCTAAAAATCTAAGTAGTATTTTCTTAAATAGTACTAACAATAAGTAAATATTGCAAATAAATATTTAATTTAAAGAAATATTAAATATAAACGTATAATATTTGATTTAAGTAGGTAATACTTTCTTTCTTCGAGTAAATATTTATTTGCAGTAAAAAAACGTTTTCTTAGTATTATTTAGAAAATATTACTTAAATTTAGTAATTTTTTTATCGTGTAACTTATTAGAAGTGATTAGTGCTAAAAAATACTTACTTACATATATCAAAATAATTCAAAATTATCTTCGCCGTATTTTATTTAGTATTATTTACAAAATTTTTTAATCCGTGCATATTTTTGAAATATGTTTATAATAAAACAATAAAAAAGATACTTATATAAAAGCTGAATATTTATATTACAATACAGAAAAAAAATGTTATGGATGTTACAACCAGAAATAATGAATTTTTGATCATTAATATATTTGGTTGTGATAACCCTAAGATGAACATATCTTTACACAATCATCAATTAAGATATGCCAATTTTATGGTTATCATAATCGTACTATAATTCTTATAGTCAAAAAGTATATTGATGGACGATTTTTGATCATGACAATCGTAGCCGTTTTTCAATGATAAATACCTTTTGGAATATTATATCTAAATCAAATTAAAAGTTATATATTCGGTATAATAAAAGTTACATATCGGTATACGACACCGATATACAATATACGACAAAAATGTATATTTTACTAATATAAATTTCGTTGCACCCATAATATCATGTAACACAATATCGTTACGCTAAAAAAAATAGATTTACTAAATTATTGATAAAAATAGTATTGCATTGTACATTTTTATTCTTATTTTCTAAAATATCATGTTATGTATTTATCTACAAAAATATACCTCATAGATAATAAAAACTATGAGGTAATATAGGCATAGAAATCGATATTCTAAAAAATTTGCTTAATTATTCGCTTATTATTGTCATTTATATTATAGATTTCTTTTCAAGTTTATCGATAAACACCTGTAGAGAAACACATATTATTTATTAATTTCTAAACGCGAATCCTATTCGGTCATTCCTCATGTCGAACTCGATATAGTATTGATGTAGAAGTGGTTGTCCAAGAACCCAAATCGGTTCGATTAACTTACTGATAAACGGAATAGTTCCAAAAACACTCGCACACTTGATCGTACCGTTTAGTACATCCTATAACAAATTGAATATAGCATGACATTTCTATTTAAAATCAATTTCAAACATCATTTGTCGATATTTACCTTAATAATATAATCTTCACTAGTGAGTTTGAATAAAACGCCATTTAAGATCAAATAGATATCAGGCAAAGAAGAAATCATGTTGCAATCCACCTTTAAACAAAACTCAGTATTAATAAATCATATTAATGTAATCAATAATACATTAAACGTTTATTCATATATATCCATAAATTATTTAATAAATTAAAAGCTGTCGCTGCGAAAAGTATCATCATTTACCATCATTTCTTCCTCAGTATAAGTAGCTCCGATCAATTTGTTAATAATGTCGATATCCGATGGTGGTCCGATTATGAGAGAAGTGCCCGTGTCGATGACAGCTTCGCAGCCGTTTGGGCATAAAGTGATATTTTTTATTTGAATCCTAAAGTGCGACGGCATTAACAATTAGTTAGCATATAATTTGTTACTAATATACATGTACTTTAGAACATGATCACATACATATCCATTGTAACTTGCCAGTGTTTTTTGTGGGAAACATTAACATATATAAACTCGCCTATGTAATAATTAGAATCCGAGCCACCCAATAAAAGTTCACCAATCAATTCGGACTCGAAACTTCTGTACAGATTATATATCTTTTAATATAAAAAAAATTAATTTTGTAACATATTATATACTATGTAAAGACAAAATATTTAAAATAAATATAAATATTTAAAAAAAAAGATATGTTTAGAGATACGTGATGCATACAGAATAATACATACCGATTTATGTAGATACTAAACACTGGCTTTACCAGGTCTTGTTCAATCATATTCTTAAAAACAGGGGTTACTCCTTTGGCATACATCAGTTCAGGATAACCCAGTCCCAAGATACCGTCAAATTTGGAATGAATAAAAATATCTCCCACTTGGAATCTTATTTCAGCGAATGTTTGATTTTTAACATCAAGACCAGCAAACTACGAGTTGATGTACTCTTTTAAAAAGTTTTTGATATTTCAAAATAAATAGAACACTGTTTGCATAATAATAACTCACGTTCACTACATCCGTAGATAAGTATCCGGACACCTCACCACTACCATATACAATATTAAATGGAGTATCATTTTTCAAGTATGTGCTGGATTTTTCATGATTATATCTATTATGTACCCCTGTATGTAATAGTAAGTACGTAAAATGAATCAGTTAAAGAGTTTAGAAATAAATTTTTCTATATAGTTTAAATATATGATACATATAATTATGAATTGTTTTAATTATTAAATGTATTTATATTTATATTTAAATACCTACATTATTTTAACGAGTGATTTGTAACTTGTGGCAAAGATCGTTTATACTCTTAAACTAAGTATATCAATAAAATATTATAAATCGCGTGTAATTGTAAAAGAACTCCACGATATTTACTTGCTCTATAATTTTAATTTTCATAATATTGAAACTTTTAACATAAAAACTTTTAGTTTTTCTTTTACTATTTTAAACTATTTTTAAAAAATTATTTAAAATGTAGGTAAAAAAGAAACAATTCTACAGCATCGTCCTTATTCTAAATCTTTTATATACCTATATTAATATATCATCTTGAATCATTGAAATAAAACAAAGCAATAAAAAATTTTCCTTATTATGTGTAATAATAATATTGTTAAATATAAATATAATTTTATATGTATATTATATGAGAAATAGTAGAATATGGAGTAAATAACGATGTTATGATATATTTACAGCAAGCAACGCTGTGCGAAATACAGTCTAAGGATGGTACCCATAAATATAATTTTATATGTATATTATATGAGAAATAGTAGAATATGGAGTAAATAACGATGTTATGATATATTTACAGCAAGCAACGCTGTGCGAAATACAGTCTAAGGATGGTACCCATAAATCTGAGGAACCAGTGTCAATAAGTACTTTAAACTTTTGTGGCGGAGTTCCGATTGTGATAAGGCCATAGTATGAAGCGTTGTCATTTTCGTTAAATAGAGGTTCCCTTACAATACCAGTGCTCACTGGAATTGTACGACTCTTTCGATGATTGATGCCAATCGATCTTCGAATGGAGTTTGCCTTATATAACGGAACTCTTGAAGCACCATGAAAAAAATTCTATTATATTTTATGTACATAGATATATTTTATTTGTATCACATATATAAATGCGAATTAAACGCTGTACGACATATGTACAAATTGATTGGCCATCTACAAACTCTTCTCATTTTTAAAAATTATTAAAGTTTTAAATAACAAGGTAATAACCGGGCTAATGAGAGTAAATTCGCTGTTATTGGTGCGATCATATATAAGATATGTAATAGCGTGAATTTATTTACCACGTATGTAGCAAACGCGCGTCGAAAATCCTTCGGACTTATAACGCAATTCTAATCAACTACCGTGGCAATATCACTTAGTTAAATTGACAAGCAATTTAACAATTCTTTTGATGCTTATAGCATCATATTGGATTTTAAAAATATGTTGAAAGACATATTAAAGTTTTAATGATGTAATATTGAATTAATGATAAATTAAAAATCTGTGAAAAATAGAGTAGAGTTGCATTATAAGTGAGAAGGACTTTCGGCGCGCGTTTGAGAAAACTACATACGTGGTAAATAAATTTACACTATTACATATCTTATATATATGATCGCACCAATAACAGCGAATTTATTCTCATTAGCCCGGTTATTCTTGTTATTTGAAACTTTGGAGAGTCGACTTTCAATTGAATTGATTATTAAAGTTTTAATAATTTAGTAGAAACTGAGAAATAAATACTCTCTATATTTATGAATTTACGCATCATAATGGTGTTTAAGGGGTTACATGGGTCTTGCAGGCGAAAAAAAAGCAGTTTTTCTCCATTTTTTTATGAATCGACAACACGACTAATATAATTGTTAAATGTTGCATGTATTTGTATACACTGTAAACAACATGTAAAAAATTTTGGTTACTTAAAAAATGCTAAGATCTGTACGTGACGCTTATCTCATTAAAACAATAAAGAAGAAATCTGAGCCTCAAAGAAATCGTTAAGCATATTTTATCTGCTTTTTACTTTACACTGTCATATAAAGTATATATATTTTGCGAATTTCTAATAAACGCAAACATTTATATATGCTCACCTTTGCAATTCTGCATTGATCAGCACGAGTACGGCGACCGCCACAAAAAGTCGGAACATATTACCAGAATTAATTTGGTTATGACTATACAGTTACAAGGATCAATAAGATTTCAGAGATGTCCTTTCCAGAGAGAATTCCTTTTCAAATCTGTTTACAATCAAGACGCATAACAAAAGAAGGATCTAATAAGTCATTAGTACTCGCAGACCATTCAGTACTGTTTATGTTGTATAGAAGCTTATGTTTATAAGTTTGTTTTATATTATTTATAAATAGGTTTAAAAAAAAGGCGATCAATCAAACGAAAGATTCTAAAAGTGATACTAATTTCAATCTAATCTGTAATCATATTTTTAATAAATCGCATTTGTCATATATACATTTACATATTTCACATCTAATCATTAATGCGATTCAATGACTTTAAATAAGTTCAGTGATTAATATGATAAAATTCATTTTTGGAAAATGTATTGTTTGCTTTTGTAAAACGATTAATCGATGTTATAATACTATTAAAGTTGAATATTTATACACTGCAGGGAAATATTTCAAAATTCAAAGAAAATTTCTTAAGAACCCTCTTCTCTTTCTCTTTATCTTTCTCTCTCTCTCTCTCTCTCTCTCTCTCTCTCTCTCTCTCTCTCTCTCT